CTGCTGCCTGTGCACGTGGCCACCTGCAGTGCCACGTGGCACTTTGCTATGGACTTGAAGACCCCCTGTGTTTCAGGGGCTGCTCTACACCGGTGAGGGTATGCTCACACAGCATACCCTAGATCTGCAGATTTGCAGCAGCTCAAGATTTCCCCCCTGGCTAGGGGGCTGTGTGACTGTGGCAGTAGGGTGGCTGATCAAGATCTCAGCCAACCCTAGATCATCATCATCATCCACCAGGGTATGCTCACACAGCACACCCAGGATCTGCAGTGTTGCAACTAGGGGCTGATCAAGATCTCATCCCCCCTCCATCCTCCAGTTGGCTGGCTGCAGCGAAGGCCAAGATCCTCCTGGTCTTGGTATACCTTGTGCCCTTGGAGACACCAAGGGCCAGGTATCATCTCTCTCTCCCCTTTTCTTTCCCCCACCTTCCACTGCCTCTCTCCCCTCCTCTTTTTACCTTCCCCACCCCACCTTTTCTCCCACTAACCACTATCTTACCCTCTTTTCTTCATTTCTTTTCTTTTCTCTCCTCCTTTCCTCTTACTTTCTTGATCRCTCTCCATCTTTCCCCATCCTCTTTCTCGCTCATTCTCTCACCCTCCTCTCCCCCAACTACCACCACATCATCCCCCCCCTCCCACTTCATCTTTTTCTCTCCCCCACCTATTTCTTTCTCTTCTCCTTCACTTTTTCATTCCCATTCCCCCCCTACTTCGAATTTTTCTGTTTTTTTTTTTCTTCTTTCTATCTCTCTCTTGATTTATCTTTTCTTTTTTTCAAAAATTCGAAATATCTTCTTTCCCACCTTCTTTTCCCATTTTCTGATTTATTTTATTTATTTTTCTATTTAGTCTGAAAATTCGATTTTCTTTACGGCAACCCTAAATCTGATTAGGTGTTAGTCTTTACTACTTTCGGCACACATTTTGACCCCATGGGGGTAACGAAGTGCTACCGAAATTTTCTGTTTTTTTTTTCATTTAGTCTTCTCGGCACACTTCGACCCCATGGGGGTACCGAAATGCTACCAAAATTTTTGACAAATTAGATACTTCATTCCTTCCCACCTCCTCATCCACTTTTTACTTCTTTCTTTCTTTACTTATTTATCTTTTTATCTATTATTTCTTTATTTATTTTCTGAAATTTCTTTTTTTATTTGCGGCATCTTGACACCTAGTGTGCTCACCTTGGTCTCGTGGGGGGTAGGGAAATGCTGCCGAAAAATTTCAAAAAATAAATATTGTTTTCCCTTCACATCTTTTTACTTATTTCTTTAATCATTTTTATTATTTATTTATTTCCTTATTTATTTTTATTTTCTCTCGAAATCTCGCTGTTTATTTATTTTTCTCCCGCCTTCCCCCCCCTATGCTTGCTCTTTTACTGTCTTGATTAGGTCACCGGTACCCTACCCTAACCGCTTAAACCTCAGTTAGGGTTTTCTTAGGGTTTTTGTAGGGTTTAGGGTTCTTCAAAACCCCCCTACTTCCCCGTCCTCTTCGGGCACCCTGGGCCTGAACCACCCCTCCCCCTTCGACGACGCCCGTGCTAGCCTTGCTAGCGCCGTTCGCCGCTTTCTACCGCGGACTTCCCCCTACGCCCTCCGCTCACGCGGACCTCTTCTGGCCCCCTCCAGTCCGGTCCGTCATCTCCCCATGGCCGACGGTGTGTCACACGCCGCTGACACGGCGATGACCACGACATCGGGCTCCACACCCGTGCCGGCGGACCAGGGCCATCAGCCCCAGGGGGATCTGCACACCCTCCTCACCTCCCTCCGTGCGCCCATCCAGGCGCAACTCACGACCCTTGCGCCCATCCAGGCGCAACTCGCGACCCTCGGACCCTTACAGGCGCAGGTAGCGACCCTTGCCGCCGGCGTGGAGCAACTCCAAGATGCTGCGTGTCCTCCATCTCCTGTCTCCCTGTTCGGGTCCCCCGTCCTCCGACAGGGTGGCCACGGCGGAGCTTCCTCCTCCGCCGCCCCCGACCCGACCATCTTGGTGACTGTCCACGCCCCTAGCACGACGGCCGCCACGAGTCAGGCCCTCCCTCAGTCCATGGGCGCACCCACCCAGATTCCGGTCACGACGGCCACGGGACCACAACCCGCTACCATGGTCTCAGCTTTTCCGGGGGCCCCACTTCTCCCCCCTCTTCGCACGACTGCAGCGCCATCTGGCTCTACCCCTTGTGGGATGCCTCGCGCTGCTCGTGCGTCTCCTCTTGCCACACCTCGCTCGACCTACGTTCGAGGTCTCGAGGACTCGATCACCCAGCTCCGGGCCGACCTCGCCCTCTCACGCCTTCAGCCACCCCCACCCTCACAGGTGGCCGCGCCTTCCGGCGCACCCCCTTCGTCCTCTATTCTTCCTTCCATGCAGGCTCGCTTCCCTCGCCCTGCACCCTACCCATCTCCATCCTACCTCCTCCCCATCCCCTCGGTTGCTGCGACCTCTTCTACCGCAACTCCCGCGCAGCCTGCTGCTGTTTCCCCTGCCGCTCCACTATACGGCCCGGACGTACAGTCAGCTGCGCCTCCCCCTCCAGGACCTGCGCCGACTTATTCCGCCGTAGCGCAGTCCCCTGCTCCCCGTTCCCCTCGCTGCCGAAATGGTGGCGCACCACTCATCCGCTTGTCGGACATTCCCTTGTATGACGGTACAGGCATACGCGTGTCTAGGTGGCTGCAGTCTGCCACCCGCACGCTCCAGCTCATGGGCGCCACACCCGACACGTGGGTGGGTCACCTCTCCACGAGCCTGCGTGGTGCTCCTTTCGACGCCTAGGAGAATTTCTATGCTTACTCCCTGCGTGAGGGTCGGACTCCGACCTTCATGGATTTCCAGGCGTTCCTCGAGGATCGCTTCGGAACCCGATATGACGTGACTGACGCCTTCGAGCGTGTCGTCACTACACGCTGGTCCGGCTCTGGTGGTGCTGCCGGCCTGGATCGCCACATCCAGGTCTTTCAGGACGCCCGCCTCGTTTGTGATGTGGCGTTCCTT